AAGAATAAGGCTTTCAATAATGGATAAATACCTGGCTAAGTTAAATTTAAGCATTGATCTTGTCATACCAATTTCCAAGTATTATTGATTGCTTGTTCTGGGGTCTGCTTCTAACAAAACTGTGACACTGGAAGAAACATAGCAGTAGAATGACTGGATGCTGAAGCATTGCAACCAAAGTGTTCAGACACTAATGTTAAAATACTGTCCCTTTGGGGGTGTGGTGGGTTCATTTTAAACATTTTTCATTTATATAGTTGTAACCCAGTCAGCCACATAAGCCACTGAGGACATGACTATCAATTCAGGACTGAAGAAAATGATCAATAGCATTGATAAATTCAAAGGGAGGAATCTGCATGCTGTTAAGGCAGACCTAAGGTCAGTTCACACATTAGTTGGAAAAATATATTTTCCAGAATGTTTGCTTCTAAATGTGTCTGCACGTATTTATAGTGATGCTAATGTTTTTTATACATCATAGGATACTCTTAAATGGTTTACCCCTAGGCTACCATCTGCACATGAAGGGATCTCAGTACTGCTTAACAGAGCTGTTCTATGGTTACTCACCATGCATAGGATCCTTGTTTGTGAGTGATTATTGAGCAAAGAAGAATTTGGGTGCATCTACACTGTAGAATTAATGCACTTTGACACCACTTTGACTGTGATGGTTCAAGATCATGGAATACTAGAATCTATAGTTTGGTAAGGCACTTATTAGCAGAGAAGGCTAAAGATCTTGTTAAATTATAACTCCCAGGATTCCATAGCATTACTTCTACAGTGTAGATGCATCACAAAATATATTGCCCATCTCCCTACTTCATTTCCCTTTGGTTCCATTACATTTTGAGTTTGCATTCTTTGAGTGAAAGAAGCACAGAAGCCTGGACAATATTATTCTAGTTAATATCATACAACGGCATTCACCAACAACATAATCACTAACTGGGCCCCTCGAAATTATGTACTAGGTTTAGTACATAATTTTGGTTTAATTAGGTTAAGTGTCTCTTATATGAAATGCTTAGGACCAGGGGTGTTTTGGATTTCAGATTATTTTGGAATAGTTGCATCTACATAAAGAGATATGTCAGAGATGGGACCCAGGTTTAATATCAAAATAATTTGTTGTTGTTGTTGTTGTTGTTGTTATATTTAAACCTCACTTTACCCCCCCCCCCAAAGGGGACTCAAAGCAGCTTAACATAAAAGCATCAGCATAACAATTAAAAATATACAAACATATGAATATCAAAACAGGATTAAATATAAACAACATTTTAAAAATTCCCAGTCTAAAACCATTAAAACAAGTTCAAAGTTAAAAACCACAGCACCTCCTGAATTGATCTTAAACATCTTAAACAACAAATATACACAGGCTATGTGTATATTTGTTTCATATATACATAGCCTGAAGTTGTTTTTATTTATTTATTTACCACATTTCTATCCTGCCCTTCTCAACCCCGAAGTATAAGTTTTGTATAAAAACTTATACAAAGTTTTTGAATAATATTGTACATGAAATAAAGTTTGGTTACAGTGGCATCAGAAAGCAAAGGTGTCACTATCTCAGTTATCCATAAGGACAAGGACATTTTTGGAGCATTTTGGATTTCTGTATATGGGATATGCTACCTGCTACCTGCATTTATAACAAATACACTAAAATCACAGCAATTGAAACCAAATAGAAAACGGACCAAAAATCAATCAAAATAATCATAATACTCTTTAAAATGCTTAGCTTATTTCAGTATACATCCAAGGCCAAAAGAAAGAATGGATTGACTTCTAAGCCTGTGTAATGACATTCCCTGAGGAATCCATGTCTTATACTTGTTTTTTATCAGATTACAAGCAAGAGGTCATTTGCAAAGATCTATTGGCAAGTTTTCTCTCTCAAATCTCTTCTCCCACAGACCAAACCCCACATCTAGTCATTTCTCTATACCAAGAAGTATTTATTTATTTATTTATTTACAGTATTTCTATACTGCTTTTCTCACCCCTAGGGGGACTCAAAGCGGTTTACACATAACTGACAAAACTTCAGTACCATACATTGGACACTGACGCGATACCAAACCATAACAAGCACAATAACAAAACCACAATTAAAGATAAATCATAATTAGACAGTACATAAGCAATCATTAAAACAATAAATAATAAAAACGGTCTCAAAAAAAAGTGACAAAAAAGTAATTGTCACTTTTGAGTCTAACTGAAAGAAAGAAGGTTGTAGTATAAACTTCCTTGGTCTAAGTGTACTTCAACACATGAAAGAGATTTAGGATATGAATCTTTATGTTACTAAAACCTTCCTTCTCTCAGTTGGTCTCTCCTCAACTCTCTATCTTCTCTACTTCTTCAATCCAGCTCCCTTTTCAGATCTTTGCATCAACCTCCACTCCAGCATTCTTCCAATTCCCAACATTAACCAAAAAATCCCCCAAGTCCTAGACCTGGTTCTCTTATATGCATAATCCTGTTAAACCCATGCATATCAATATAATCAAACAGAAAACACTGTTCCTTCATAGTCTAATGTAGAAAAAAAAAGAAACAAGAGGCAGGAAAGGCATGTGGGCCCGAATGGGTCATGACTGAGTATGAGGAAAATCACCATTTCAGATGAAAGTGTACCCGTGGTTCAACCAATGAGCAGGAGATAGAGGAAAGGTGAACAGAAAGAACATGATAAACCTTTCATTCATCTTAACCACTGTTCCCAGGCCACCTTTATTTGGAGAATGGAAGAGCCTGAGTTTAGCTAAACAGATCAGGTTCCAACACTTAATCCTCATATTTGTGAAGAGCCAACCTCTGTTTTCACAAGCCCATCTTGTTAAATATTTGTTACACCTGAATTAAAAACATTCTTAATAATTAGTTGGCAAGTGTTTAATTCATGTACAATGATTGCCTAATTAACTCAAAATGAAATTTTAATTTGAGGCTTTTCAAGAAGAAAAACAAAGCTGGCCTTTCTGTTTTTGATATTCCAGGATAGTAGAGAGGTGGATATAGTTCCTCCTCCTCTTCTGTTGCTCTGAGGTTTCCCTCTGCCTTACTTTCTACTCCTCCTAAATTCCAATTAAAGTAGGAACATTTCTAAACATTAATTGTGGAATTAGAGCATGTACACTCAGTTTCCAGCTTCTACGTTCCTCATATATTTCCTTTCCCTCTATGTTTTCAAGATGTGTGGATTCTCTTGAGAACCAAGGAAGCAATTCTGATATGACCTTTTGTATGTGTGCATTGAGATGTGGATATGCATACTTGCATACTATTGAAACATTGATTGAACTCAAATTCACAACATTGTGGTGGGCCAAATATTTTTACTCCACATTTATTTGATAGAATACTCTCTGACACAGAGCTGCAAATTACTGTGGAATATATAAAGAACAGATACATACACACATTTTAACAGCTTCCTTCTAATTCTTTTATTTTCCATTCAGTGGTAGAAATAGGCTATGTGTCTCCACCCATTTTATTCTATTTCAGTATTTATAAAAAAGAATGTAACATGTGTCTTTACCTTTTATTATTGGAGCACTGGAACAATGTTAATTGAAAAGTGTGAACTTTGTGAATTGCACTATGAGCTGATACAAGTCCCACCTCACGCACTAATATACACATTAAAGACAAGTAACAGGTTGCCTTTTACAGTATGTGAATGTTCCATCACATTTTAGGTTCAAGGAACATATCACAATGCATTTTTAAAATAAGTATTTTGAGATCAAACACTGAACATATATATTTAAATCATTCTCTCTCACACACTCACACACAAACTCACTGGTTTCTCATTTGAGAGAACAGACTAAGTAAACACAGAGAAAAGTGGCATGGATTAGGGATGGAGAAACAAATTATAAAATAGTTTTTGGGAAAATGATCAAAAATGTTTATTGCATGATAAGAAACCTAGATATATAGAAATGTCAACATTTCAGAAGGTACTTTGAATTCCTATTGCATTTCTTGGCCTGAGTAATGGCTCCTGGTTTCCATGTAAGCAGGTAAGTACATCTGATTTTCAGTTCCAATTTTACAGAAGCTATCCAAGATGGTGAATCAATTTGGGTGATATGGGTCATAATCTTGGATAGCATCCGTTGAAGCTAGTTCCATGTGCAAAGTGTAGTGTGATCTGCTTTCCCCACTAGAACTCTGAAGCATGTGGATTCAGTGAGGATGTGTACACACAGTACCCATAATTTGGGAGATAATGGGTTAAAGAGGGGGTGGCCAGGTGATGTTTCTGGTAAATGTATCTATATTTATATTAGGATATTTGCATGTGTGCATATAAGCATCAGTGCATAATTGAGTGTTTAAAAAAACAAGCTTCCAGTGGATGTTCCTCCATTTTATCCCAAGACACAGAAGGGCTGTGTGGATAGCAGGGGAAGAAAGCCCGGGACTGGCAGGTCTGTGTGGGAACCTGCTCTGAGGTCCCAGGTTTGTTTATCCCGTACATTAATTGTGCATTTTGCACCATGAGAGAAAGATTTGTGGCTCAGTTTAGTTCATCAGAGCTGCTCATGACTCATCCTTCATTCTTTATACTGTTTAGGATGCACCTACACTGCAGAATTAATGCAGTTTGACACCACTAACTGTGATGACCCAATGCTTTGGGATCTTGGAGGGTATGGCTTGGTGAGGCACCAGCACTCTTTGGCAGAGAAGGCTAAAGACCTTGTAAAATCACAATTCCCATGATTATATAGCAGTGAAAGTAGTGCTAAACCTCATTAATTAATCAAACTGGTTTAGTCTTTTATTTTTCTACAACTCTTTGACATCATCATTAATTGAACCCATTCACCCTGCTTTCCCTCTTCAATTTGTATGGGGACAGAATTATGAAGAAGATGTTAGTCTCTATATTTTAAAACAGCAGCAACAATATTATGACCATCACTAAATGCAAATGTGATGATGGAGATATTTCTTACCTGTTATATTGCAGTAGACTAAAAGTGGTGGAAGTGGACCACTTGCATCTGAATCAATGTGGAAGATACCAGAAGTTTTCCCTTGGTGCCGATAGGCTTCACATGATTGCTCATAAATAGCTAAAAGGAAGTGGAATAGGTATTTACAATACACACATATACTCAAACATAATATTTTTGGCTTGATTGAGGCAATTTAGTGTTGGATCTTATAACTGCCGATCCCACTGCATATTGGCTGCTTCTGTGTAGGGAGCCAGTTATTTGCAGTTGATAGCTAAACACTGGAGCAAAGTTGACAATACTGCATAATGTTGCATCTACTATATTATTTTTATTTATCTTGAAATGACTTGGCAACTACATAACCAGTTAGTATAGAAAATAGCCTTTGCACATGAACACTGTTGTTTCATAATGAGAGTCTATGCAGTTACCAAGCAGCTTTATGCTACTCTGAACCACCTCTATAATGTTTGAATGGCAGCAAATGAAGCAGTATTTCATTGGACTTTGTTCACTATAGGCCTCAGCAGGAGATCCAGTCCTTGCAATCTCACACATATGAATCTGTATCAATTTCTTTCATTAAATCATGGTTCTGCCATTCTTCTAATCAACAAAGCCCTCTTGGAACTATCACTATTATTTTTTAAAGTGACCTTCAATGCTCTAGGTTTACTGTAGGAAATGCACATAATAAATAATATAACATTTTCCCGGCATTAGTTTTGACTATTATAGAGTAGCTGATTTGACAAGATCTGGATTCTCATTTTACCTATTGCAGGCATACCCAATTTAACAAAGCATCTGCCCAAGAAACTCTTTTTTACAGAATATTTTAAAGCCTCCCCAACCCACTTTTCTTCCCTTTTCTCCATCATGATGATGTTTCCCCCCTCCTTTTTCTTTTCATCACTGGCAATGGAGAGGTGGTGTAGGAGGGCTGAAGGAACACAGGCTTTTGCTGTTGGATTACAGCAGTTGCCTCCAGAACCTCTTATTGAGGAAAGGAACAACAAAACAGAGGGAGAAATACATAAGCCTTTCTCATTAGCTCCTCAGCATGTTAGAAAAGCATACATCTATACGTCAGGACATCAAAATACAAACTATGAGAAAAGTGGAGACTGGAAAAAGATATCTCTAGATGTGTTTTGGAAGATGGCTTCAAGTGGACTTGAGAAGGTTCATAATGTATCAAGATGTACACGATGAAGCTGTTTCACTTCATGTGTACATATTGCAACTTTTGGATATTTTCTGAAACATGTTGAAATGTTCTTTTTCATGGTATAGGAATGTATTCTTTCAACATTATTTTTTTTCTCTTCCACCAATTTTTTTCATAAAGAAATAATACCCGGGAACAAACCTATCTCATTAACTGAGATGTACCTGTATATATATTAAAAGCATTTCCTCTTGATTCCATTTATGAAGATGGAATCTGCTGTTCGCATAATACATTAATTCAAGTTCATTCACCATAACAGTTTGCTTTTTGGCGTTGCTTTCCTTAGCTAAGTGCTGAAATGTACACTCTGCCATACACAGTCAATTGATCAAAACATTTTCACTTCACTTTCACTTCACTTTATTTCTTAATTAGTCGCTCTCCACCAAGGTGCTCCGAGCGATTTACAGTCTAAAATAGCATTTACACAACATAAAAACATTCAACAGTGACTATTTGGAAAATTAGATAGGATTACTTAAATGCACAACCAAACAGCCAAGTCTTGAGTGCCTTTACAAAAGGTCGCAACTCCGACATTGCTCTAATGTATGGAGGCAATGAGTTCCACAGAATTGGAGCATAGGTCGAAAAAGCTCTATGCCTTGTAGCTTCCAGGTGTACCTCCCTAGGGCTTGGTATATATAGGAGATTTTCCTGGGTGGATCGAGGTGACTGCTGATGGAGAAAAGGAATGAGGTGGTCCCTAAGATATAAAGGTCCTTGGCCCTTTTGAGCTCTAAATGTCAGGATCAGTATCTTGTGAAAGATCCGATGTTCTATTGGTAGCCATAGGAAGTAGAACTATTTTGGAAATATTTTTCAAGCATGCCATGTTTGCCCTTTGTAAATAAGAAATAATAAATAAGCATTCCGGTGCTACTGTTAACATACAGCAAAGGGATTACTAAACATTATTAGCCATTCCAAGGTCAAATCTATATTTGTGTTGCCCTGCAAATTACTATCTATATTTAACACCCCACAGATATGACAAAATGCTATTGCAGACATGTTCTCACTTCCAAACTGAAAGAAACTTGAGGAATACTGTAAGAATTCAATTTATTTTTTACCTGACTCTTAAAATAACAACAATTCCCACAGCTATCAAAACTATGCAGTTAATAGATTAACTGCTTCATAAAGTTGTTATCAAGGAAGGAAACTTTGGATGCTGTAGTGGTTTTGATTTGGAAAAAAATTGCAGGTTGTTTTGAGACACAAATCCCTAGCTTTTATTTCTGTGACATATCTGACAGAATATAAACCTCTCAGGAAAATATATGTTACTTTTCTGGAACAGCTCCTTCCTTCAACTACGAGAAGTGTACAGATTTCCCCATCTCTCTCTCTCACACATCTCTGATTAAATTTAAATAACATTATCAAGTTGGTTGAGGAAGTTTAGTGATGAAGAATCCAGTTTTTCACCAATCAGTTAATGTCTTTATGGTTTAATATATGTCAACCTTTCTGATGCTTTGTGTCTGCTTACTTTTTTTACCTTATGCAAGAGTTTAGCCAATTCTTTTGCATAAAAGAAATTATGTTAAATACAAGCACTGTTATCATTATTATTTTGCATATGGAACTATCTGGGTTGAAAACAATCTGTTAATGATGTCTGAACTCATGAGATTTGGTTCATAAGTAAACTAACCAATTTACCCCACAAGCATGAAAAGAAACTTCAAATTCCCAAACTAAAGCATTTTTTTCAGTTCTCCATGAAACCTCAGACCTCTTCTGCCCCATCACCCATTGCACAGTAATCCCTGAATTGCTTTCTTCCTTCTCTTTCAATAATGCTCACTGGCAAGCAGTAGGCTTGGGTCCGGATCAGTTTGAAAAGTGATTTGTAATTTTCAGCTTGTTTGTTTCATATAATCAGACAAAAACAGAACAGGGAGTAGGGAACTGGAAAGCCAACCAAAACGGATCAAGAGAGCTGGATTTATCAGCTACAGGAGAAGATGGAATTAATTCTGCAATATACAGGGGCCAGCTACAGGGGCTCCTGGAGAAGATGGGACTGACTGTAGTGTCTTTTCTCCTTCCCCAGAGAGGGCCCTGCTGGGAACTCACTTTCCCAGCAGCACTTGCATGGAGTGAGCATTGAAAAGTCTCTAAGTTCCTCTCAGAGCTTGATGGAGTTTTCTTCTCTCTCTGTCTCTCAGCCAATAAAAGGCCTGGTTGTGTCCATGCTCTGATTGGCTGAGAATGGACATAACCAGTGCCTACAATTCCCAGAACCCTCTCTTATGGGTTGTCTTGTTTTTTAAAAATGTTATGGTAAAAACATTTTAAAAAAATTAATCAGTAGATTAATGAATTGTTCTGAAACTTGGCAGGCCTGCAGTTGTAAATGGGGTCTAGGTTTCATGCAGATAGGCCTTGAAGTGGCTAAGGATTGAATCTTTAAAGTTTCCCATTGTAGCCAATGGGCCAAATCTTTGCCAAATGAAAACAGCAACACTCCTCCCAATTCAAGTAACCAGTAAACAGAATGAGGGATTAGATGAAAACGGACCTCCAAACAGCATGCCTTTTGACCAAATTGCACAAGTCTACTAAGCATTGAGGAAAAGAGATTACAGTGGGCCCCTGGTATCTGCAGGGGTTTGGTTCCAGGACCCCCCACCATGGATACAATGATCTGTGGATCCCAAGTTCCATTATATACAACATTATATACCAAATGGCAAAATCAAGGTTTCCTTTAAGTTACAGATATGGTAGTACAACTGGAACCATAGAGATCTTATTATATAGGGTCCTAGAAACCTGGCTCTTCCTGAAGAATTCTGTCCACCTTCCCTACATCCCTAGCTTCAAAGAGATATTTCCTAACATTTCCTTCTGACTATCTAGCCTATGTCTAACATTGCCAGATAAGTTGCTCAGTGAGGTTTAATGGGATAGGGAATATATTAAATGGGATAAGTAAGGGGCGGGGGAAGAAAACAAAGGAGACTTGGAAAGGTGTATGAAATGCTTTTTTAGATAAGGTGGAAAATAAGGGTAATCTGATAAGGGCAGGAACAAGTTCCAATTGGTTTATTATTATATAAAAATAAAGCAAAACAGCATCAAACTAATAAGAGTTTTACGTTTCAGAGACATGGTATGGAAAGACTCAGTTTGGAGATTTGAGAAAAATGAAAGTCAGTCCTACTTTCTCCTTGGCCTAAAGAAGCTTCAAAGATGCTTTGGTTGAATATAACATAATAGAATTCAGCATGCATATATGTTCCTTCCGAATAAGCTCAGGGTGAAACCTTCAGTGACTGTTAATATCACATAAGCAAATGCTCTATGCATAACCAGGCTCAACTAGATTGGCCAAATGTCTCAGAACATGGTGGTTTTCACTGTTGTGCTTAATTTCCCTCCAAAATCTAAATGATATTTGTCTTGTACTAGTTCATTTCTCTTTTCTTTCATTTTGAATTCTTAGTTAACTATGCCATTTTTCTCCTGTTCTGGTACCTTCTGTTACATGTTAAATTCCAAATTCACATGCTTACCTACTGTGACACATGGTGTGGATTTTAATGTTTGAAGCTCTTCCAGTCCTACTACATTTCTTGCTCAGTACATTCCTAAAGAAATTAGAGAAACACTGGACTTGGCAGCTGGAGCTGCTGGAAGCTGAAGACCAACAACATTTGGAGACTCACATGTATGAACGATATATTAGAGCTTCAACTAAGACCCTTTTATGTGTAAATTATATGTTGTGGTGGTGTATAGACAGAGTACACATCAAGTAGATAACGTATAAAAGCTAAAATTCATAATATAGTTTTACTTATAGTTTATAGTTACAGACTTCTTCTTTCAGCTCCCCATTCTCTGCTACCAAACCTTTTCTGTG